CCCCACGCGCCGCCCCTGCCCCTTCCGAAACCCCCGCCCCGTCCCTGCCGCCCCCGGCCCCCGCAGAATCAGGGCCGTCCAGCCGCGACCCACCCCTCGCCAGCAGCGCCTCGGCGCATTCAACAGACCCCGCCAGCGCCGCAGCATGCAGCGGGCTCGCGCCGTCGCCGCCGCCGCTGCCGCCGCCCGCAGCCGCAGGGGACAGGCCAGAGTCAATCAGAAGCTTCAGGCACCCCGCGTGGCCCAGGCCGGCCGCGACGTGCAGCAGGTTGTAACTGCCAGGGGGAGGTTTTTTGTAGGAGCGGGTCGGGACGATCGGGGATGCTACTGCCAGCCCGCCGGCGCCGTGGCGGCGGGAGAGAGCGCATGAGCAGTGCGGGGACCTGGCCGGCGGAGCTGTCACTTGTGGCGTGTGTTTCAAAGGCCGAGGCCCCACAACCACCGCGCTAGCAGCCGCGGCGCTGCATCAGACATCAGCACCGTCGCTCCACTGCCACCGCCGCAGCCACCGTCACCACCACCAGGAGCGGCAGGAGCAGCGGCCGCCGCCACAGCAGCAGCAGCAGCAGCAGCAGCGGCAGCAGCAGCAGCAGCAGCAGCAGCAGCAGCAGCAGCAGCAGCAGCAGCAGCGAGCCGCTCACCCGCCGCCCGCGCCGGCGTGCACGTCCGCGCCCGCAGCCACCAAGTGGCGCGTCACGTCCAGGTGCCCCCCAGCCACCGCCTCCCCTAGGGCCGTCAAGCCGCGCTTGTTGGCCAGCGCGTGCTTGGCGCCCCCAACCAGCAGCAGCGACACGCCCGGCAGCCAGCCGCGCCTGCGGCGTTGCCGCGAGCAGAAGGCCGGGGGCGCATTTCGGGGCGCCGACTAGGGGTGAGCGCTGGCGGGGCGGCAGGCGCGCGCGTGCACTGAAAGTTTGTCCCTCGCTCGATCACAACACGCGTGTGAGCGTCTCACGCTGCTGCTTCGCCCCTGTTTTCGTGCGAACGGATGCAACCGCGCGCTCGAGGCGCACGCGCGCACACACACACGCATGCGTACGCACGCACGCTTGAACCTGAGCCGCACCGTGCCGCCAGGTGTAGGGGCGTGTCATCTGCGTCGTCGTTCCCATCCAGCCAGGCGCTCTTCGACGCCAGGAATCGCAGCACCTAGGATGCAAGGGCACGCACAAAAAACACGCCAAGCAGGCGGCCGCGCGCCATTTTGGCATTCGTCTGCACGGGGACACGGGCAAGCGGGAGGGGGGGCGCCGAGGGAGGCGCGCGGCGCGCCTATCCGGTCGCTGCGACGCGGCACGGCGCGCTGCGGGGTGGGGCGGGAGCTCCCAGCGCCGATGCGCCCTGCGCCCGCCGCGGGTCCACACAGGCTGAAAAGGACCGGCAAACGCGGCACGCAAGCCTCATTGCCACAGATGCAGCCACGCCAAACCCTCGCCGGCCGCGCCAACCACAACCCGCAGCCGCAACCAGCGCGGCCCGCGGCCCCGCCGCACCTCCGGGCTGCGTCCGAGGGCCGCGTAGTGCAGCGGCGACCGCGCCCGCTGGTCTTCCGCGTCCAGGTCCACCCCTTTGGTGGCGAGGTACTGTATCACATCCAGGTGGCCGTGCGCCGCCGCATAGTGTGCCGCCGTCAGCCCGCGCTTGTCTCGGGCTTTGGGGTCTGCCCCCTGGGAAATAAGCTCCGCGGCCTGCGGCGGGGGCAGGGGCGCCGAGGCAGAAGGGCGTCGCGGAGGGCTTGAGGGGATTGTGCTCGCATGGTGTGCGCCAGCGCGGGAATGGGGAAAGTGTAGGGC